ATAAACAAGATTTTTTATCATAGATTTCAACTTATCTACTTCTAACATAACATCACGTTTTTCATGAAGCAAGCTAGCATTTTTAATTCTCAAATTTTTATTGTATTCTTTAAGAATTATATTTTTATTTATAATAAAATTAAACTTAGTGGCTAGTGTTTCATGAGTGGATTTCATATTTACATACTTACTCTTTACATCAATATAGCAATTGTGTAATTTTTCAAACTCAAGAGTAAGTTCATCGAAAGTAATAATATCATTGTTATCAAGATTGCATACCTCACTAGGGTTATCACCTAGTGGTATTGTACATGGAGATGAGGCTTCCTTAGAGCTTAAAGCGCGATCTTCCAACGCTTTTTGAATAGCCTCCGAGTCTCCTTCATGTGCTTCAATAAATTTCCATAAGGCGTAAGCACTATCAAAATGAGTAAATTTGTTAGAAAACGATGAATGAAAAGCATTAAGCAAATATTCTAACAAGAGCTTGTTCATGTTAAACAATCTTTTATCATTTTTACTCCATTTGGATTTTTCCAAAATGGGAACAACATAGGCATCCTCAATAATCTCCCACAAATCGAATTGTTTAGATTGAACAAAAAGTTTGAATCTAACACGTCATTGAGCATAGGGGAAAATATCCAAACGAGGAGCAACTTTAATAGCATAACCTAAACTAGATGCATCATACATATCCATAAGATTATATGCAAGAAGCAAAAAGCAATCAACACTAGATTAACACAAAAACGATAACTTGGATCTTTAACTCAAGGCGATTAGTCCTTAAATCAAAGAGCACCAAGCTCTGATACCAATTGTTAGACCCTAGAGGGGGAGGGGGGGAGTGATTAGGGTCTTATGCTAATCTAATCCCAATTAAAAGCCAATTAAAATTATGTTGATTAATTTGTTCTTGCAAGAATGATATAAGATAGATATGAGCAAGAGAGATATGAATAAGCACAAATAAAAAGTACGCTAATCCAAACACAAACAAACGATATGTTTACGAGGTTCGGTCACCACGACCTACGTCCCCGCTCCTCACCTCGAGGAGTTCTCCACTATCACAATCCGGTTTGGAAGCCAGAACTTCTACACACTCGGTTTACAAGCTTACCGAAAAACTCTCACATAACAAATACTATGCAATCACACTTTACACACTAAGTGTAGGAACCTAGCTCGTGTCCTCCTCCTCAAGTGCTCGGATGTAACCTCTCCCTAGGTTCATCAACCGGCGCCACTCCTATTGGATTTGACCCCGTCTCACGCCTCACACTTCTCTCGGTGTACAAGTGTATTACAAGTGATTCTCACAATAAAAGGTAAATACAATGATTTGTTCTCAACAACAAATAAGAACACAAATGAAGCTCACACTCACTAAATCACACCCCACAACCCACACTATATAGTATGAAGATATTAAGCTCAATATGTGTGTGTGATAACAGTGAATGAAAATAATACAACTCAATAAATATAGCTAAATAAATGAAAATGAAATAGTAAGCTATATAAGGAAGAGTTTAGAAAACTTCTCAATAAACAAGAAGAGTAGTAGATGATGATTCCAATAGGAATTGAAAGTCACTTCTTGTTGTAGAAAACTTCTCTTGAAGTAGATTAACGAAAATTAGCTTCACAGCTCTTTAAACGCCTCTTAAACCTTTGTTAAAACTTCTTGTAAAAACAAAACTCTTGGTTTTTCTTAGTTACTGAAATAGAAGAGCAATGTGGTATTTATACCCACTCAAGAACTCAGCAAAAACCAACTTGAAATGACCAAAAAGCCCCCAGAGAATCAAATCAGAAACTAACCGTTGGAATATAATCATGAGTTCGACGGTCGACCGTGGCGGTCGATCGCGAAGCACAAAAAGTCTGAGTTTGGAAATTAAAAGCTGACGGTCGACCGCAGCGGTCGACCGCGAAAGTCTCTGGATGATTTCACGGTCGACCGTCACGGTCGACCGCGAGCACATAAAAACCATAGTATGAAAGTTTGCTTCTGACTGTCAACCGTGATGGTCGACCGCAAACTGATACTTGGCATATGACAGGTTTTTGGGCTGATTTTGAAAATACTTTAAAAATATTAAATCAATTCCAAAAATAGTAAAACTTTGGAAAAATTTCTAAATGATAAAATGAATATGTTAGAAAAGGAATTTTTGGAAAAATAATCTTCGTTTGCAAAAACACACTGTTTTTGAAAAGTGTTCGTAAAACCTGTATTTTATGAACATGAAAATTTTGATATGACTTATATATATATATATATACATGAAATAAATGATATTGTAACAACGTTTGATGAAAAATCATTTATATGATAGAAAACGTCAAAAATTGTGTTAAGTGTACATATATTGAGCTTAAATATAAACATACAATATATGTAAGTAAACTATTCTTATACCTAGGTAAATCCACATATATGAACTTGAATCTTTAACACTTGATTATCGTGTATTGAAATACCTGTAAAGAGAAACATAAAAACAAAACTAGAGAATATATTAGCGATAAATTGTTTGACAAATCATCATCAAAACTATAGGGCCAACACGAACTAGTCATTTGAAGGAGCTTGAGGACCCAAACATCACTATAATCCACTCACAAACTCTGTTTGATAACTGACATCAACAGGTGTCCACATGGTAGCTTTTTCCCCAAAAAATTAGTATATTCTGTGGTGGTTCTATGAAAATAAAAAAATTATGGTAGTTCTCCAAAAAAACCACTATGTTTTGGGTGATCTTGTATAAAAACCACCTAAAGTTTAATCAAAATAGGTTCATATTCAATGGTGGTCACACTTTTGAAGGTTGCTAAATAGGGCCTAACACTGAAACAAAGGCTCACTGCGGCTGCCTTTTATTAAATCCACAGTGCAAAGCCTCAAGCGACTTATTTGGGGCTGTCCATTTGGGCCCAAGGCCCGAGCCCAGCCCGAAAACCCGGGACTGATAGGGTTCGGCAAGCAGCATCGTCGGTGTCGGCACGGACCCAGCCTGGCCGACGTATCATACCGCGACAGGGCGGGCCTACCCATCGGCAAAACAGTCATTTTTAGTACCATTGTCGGTCTAACCGGTCGGATCCGGGCCGGCCATAACGGCCATATTTTGGCTTTTGACCAAAATACCCCCAAAACAGTAAAAAGGCCAAAATTTAAGGGTATTTTGATCATTTGCCTAGGGGCTACCTCTATAAATAGAGGGAATTTTTATTTGTTTTTCTCATCCAAAACGCATCTACTTCTTTCTAATACTCTCTGATACTCGTTTTTGCTCTCTAATTCTTCAATCAAATAGTTTCCTCCTCTGATTATGAATGATAAATCCCAACTCCCGATCCTGAAATGAGTCGTAATACTCCTACTACATAAGCTACAGCTACTCCTCCTACTCCTACCGATGTTGATCACGACTACGGTGGAGACGATTCTGCGCCAAGAGCTCCTAAAAGACCGAGATCCGATGTGTGGAACTTGAGAAGATATAAGTCACCAGGGATCAACACGGTAAGCCTCCCACCCAGAAGGCTAAGTGTGTATTTTGCTGCCATAATTTCCAAGCTCATTATAAGAGCGGCGCACACCAACCACCTCAAACGCCAATTGGAGAAACACAACAAAGGTCAGGCAACGCCTCAAGGTGATATCCGACAATCTTTACTCTCCCAATCCTCATCTTCCTGTAGTCCCGGTAGTTGGAAATATGATGCAGTTCGAGCTAAGAAATGCGTCATCAGGTTTATTATTCTTAAAAACATTTCTTTTAAATTAGTAGAAGATGGTGAATTTAAAGATATATTTACAGATGATTTTTTATACCGCATTAAAAAAAATTTCTCGTTAAACTTGTCAACGTGATATTTTAAAATATTATTAGGAGGAACAAGCAAAAATAAATTTTTATTTTCAAAGTTTAACTGTAAAATTTTTTTACTTCTGACATTTGGACATCTAGAACACAAACTGGTTATTTATATATCACAACACACTAGATTGATGATAATTGACAAATATTTAAAAGAGTTATTTCTTTATTGTATTTGAAGATTCACATAGTGGTATTAATATTACAAATTTAATAATTGAAGAACTTATAAATTAGAAACTTTAGAAAAAAATATTTTCTATTTTCCTAGATAATGCAAGTAATAATAATGTAGTTATTGTAATGTACTTGTTGATCATATCAAAACATCTATGCTATTGTCATGTCATTGTGATATTTTTCATATTAGATGTGTGTGTTATATTTTAAATTTAATTGTTCAAAGTGCATTTAGTAAAATTAAATCAATAATAGAAAATGTTAGGAGAGTAGCTTATGCTCATAATGCTTCTAAACAAAAAATTAAAAGATGGAAACAATTATGTAAAATAAAAAAAATTTAAACTCAGATTAATTCCAAAAGATGTTGACCATAGATGGAATTCTACCTATGCAATGTTAAATGTAACAATAGAGTATAAAAATTATAAAAAAAATTTATTGTTTTCTATATTTTTAGTTCTAGCTCTGGTAGTATGTATAGAATAATTAAGGATGAATGGACAGTTATATATAGTGTAGAAGAGATGTTACAAGTTTTTTATGATGCTACTATGTTATTATCTGGTTGTTATTATCCAACTATTATTCATTTTTTATGATGCTACTATGTTATTATCTGGTTGTTATTATCCAACTATTATTCAAGCTGCTTTACAAATTTTAAATATTAGCTACTATGTTATTATCTGGTTGTTATTATCCAACTATTATTCAAGCTGCTTTACAAATTTTAAATATTAAAAAAATTAATAATTATCATATGGATAATTATTTTGGAAATATGATTTTTTTAAATGGAAAGTAAATTTAATAAGTATTTTAGGACTATTCCTATTATTTTGGTTTGGGGTTCTTATTGATCAATGTTTGAAGGATATTGGCCTTCAAAGTTTGTTAAATTCTTTATATGATAACATGATAATAGACACTAATGGTGGTCGAATTATTACTGTTCTTACTCATCATAATACTATTAGAAATTATTTTCAAAGATTATATGATGAGTATGCAGGTAGATATTGTGTAAGTACACATCAATCTATAGCTTCTGCTTCTACGAGTTCAAGTCGGGGCAAAGGTATGAGTTTTGATAGAAAATCAATGATAGCTGAGCTAACTGGTGGATCTAGACTTGGATCATCAACGGAAGTTTCCGAAATTGATCAATATTTAACTACATATTTAATTAAATGTCAAAATAGTAGTTTTAATATTTTGTAATGGTGGAAAGTATATGGAACAGTTTCATATCCTATACTTTCCATTACGGCCCATGACTTATTAATAGTGCAGGTTTCTATGGTAGCTTCGGAATCCGTCTTCAGCACAATAAGATGTTTGATCGATGACCACAAGATATCATTAGATTTGTATACTATATAGACAGTAATGTGCCTACAAGATTGGTGAAGGTACGAGAAGAGAAAGTAAGACATCAATCGGATGTTGATATTGAAGATAAATTTAAAGAGTTGGGACTAGCAGATAGATATAAATAGTAGAGATTATTCATCAGTTTGTAATTTTATTTATTAGCTGAAAATTTGTGATAAATTATTTTAAAAAATTACAAATGATAGTGATATAGATGAGTAGGTGTCAAACTAGTTGGAATATATTCATCTATTGTGATGCGATGAATTCCAAAATAAATTTATAATTGTAGATGATTGACTGATTATTAATAAAAAATTATTTTTATCATTTTAATTTTTATAATTTTTTGTATTTATAAATTATATAATTACAAGTGATTAATAATATAATTATTTTTATTAAAATTTTGTTTAATTTTTTGCTATGTATTAATAAAAATAAAAAAACCGGGTCGCCGATGTCTGGCCACCGGGTTCGGGGCTGGGCCCTGGTTTTGTCCGGGCCCGTTTGGACAGGCATAGGCTTATCCCATTCCTTTGCCGTTTGCCAAATGTCGGCATCGGCAAGCAGCACCATGAGCATGGGAACGAGCTCTGTAGTTCTCGCTCGCTCCTCCGCGCTCCTTCTCTCTCCTCTATGCCTCGTCAAAATCCAAACCCGCGTTCTCTCTTGCCCTAATCGACGCGTTCTATCAACGACGAGGATCAGAGCGGCNGGTCTGCGTCAAGGAATCCGTCACCGTCCCTGGAAAGCTTGGCGACTGTATGAAATTCTCAATCACTTCTGACTATTTGCATTTCCTTTTTATATTTGAGAGAGGAAAATATGTTGAATCCATTATTTGCTTAGTTTTGCTTAACAAAGAAGGAAAAAAAAAACGAAAGAATTTGGTCACCAAATGCCCAGTGTTCTAAATGTCGGATGTTGAAAAATTCCATGTGAGATGGTATATATATATATGAGAAACCAAGTTTCTCCATTGAACTTGGTAGTGAGGTGGCCAAATCCCCACCCTACATCACACATTGAAGAGAGAGCCTCAATCACTATTCACCTACTTTTAAAAAGAGACTCCATTTTCAAGGTGTGATGTAGGGGGGTGATTTGGCCACCTCACTACCAAGTTCAATGCAAGAACTTGGTACCAAGTTTCTCCATATTTCTCTCTCTCTCTCTCTCTCTCTCTCTATATATATATATATATATATATATATATATATATATATATATATATATATAGAGAGAGAGAGGAGGAGAGGAGGATTAATGGGTATCCTTAAAGACAGGAGGATTTTCCTCTTAACAATGATGTGACACACATCCCCACCATGTGAAATTCTCTCTCCTACTTTATTCTCCTCACATGGTGGGGATTGTGCCATCATTGTCAAGGAGAGAATCCTCCTCCTTGTTAAAGAATACCCATTAATCTCATATATAATATTATATATATATATATATAATATAATTATATAATATATATATATTATATGAGAATATGGTATAATTGGGCCAAGGATCCTTGTAGTGATGTGACACATCTTGTCCATACATCACACCTTGGAGTTGGTGAGGCTCCATCTTTCTAGGTGTGATGTTATGGACAAGATGTGTCCACATCACTACAAGATGTCTTAGTACCAAGTATACCCATTTTTTCTCTCTCTCTCTCTCTCTATATATATAAATATATATATATATATATATATATATATATATATATATATATGATATATATATATATATATATATAAATGATGTATGTCGGGGTTTCATGTCGGATAATGTCATTGTTCGTACTTGATGTATATATATATGTGTGTGTGTGTGTGTCGGGGTTTCATGTTGGATAATGTGCATATATTCGTACTTGATACTTGATGCGCCAAAGAATGGAGCCGTGAGAAAGGAGGTTGCAAAGGAATTTAGTCTCAGTTGAGCCCTAATTCTTGCTTGGGTTTAACCTCAATTGAAGAATAAATCCAAACCATTTTTTTAAAAAGGCCAAATCAACATTGGAACATTTTGGTTGATTTTTTAATGTCAAAATGTCACATGACATATTGGAAAAATCATGATATATTAACAAATATTGCCAAAGTGGTAATATTGAGACCTTATTGATATGCGGGAAGCCTTATTAGAGGACATATTGTCCGATATATCCGCCATGTGTGGGATATTTAAAACAATGAAAATATCATTGCAACTGCTGAGAAAAATTCAGGGCGAAGAATTGGGAAACTTTGTCCTTAATGGTTATAAGTTATAAGAGTATTGAAACTTGTGTTTATACTTGATAACTTTATCAATCAGCAAACCACTAGTAACTTAGTGTCTGGAGAGGTAAGGAAGTAAAATGGGGAGTTAATAATTGTAGATTTATTGTTACTCAAACAAAAAGATAATATTATATTGCTTGAAATATTATAATACTCTTGATAATGATAGAATTATAATTACAGGAAGTTCGCACAGTATGATTTCATTTCGTAATCAGGGTGAAATTAACAAACCTTATCATCCCTCTCTTCTAGTGATCTGGCATCAAGTCAGTTCATCGATGGCAAACTTATGTCAAAACTTTACAGCATTTTGATCGTGAAGAGTCTGAAGACCTATATGATGGATGATATAATTTATTTTGGTATTGTTGCTTCAGTTAATATAGACATGATACACATTGGTAACATCGGGCTACTATCAGTTTTGATAAATAGGGACTTTAAATATCTTAACTGAGAGAACATTCTCCATTGCTTTACCTCTTTTTCTTGCCAATCCTGTAAATAGTTAACATGCATTCTCCTTCCAGGCCCCTTCTCTCAAAGAGTTTTGTTGACCCTTGAGGAAAAGCATGTACCTTATGACATGAAGCTAGTAGATCTTTCAAATAAACCAGAATGGTAAATATAGAGTCCTTTCGTGCTGGAAAGTTTAAAAATATGTATGCTTTTTTCTTAAATCATCATATGCAGTAGGTATACTTATTCACATTTTCTTGTTTCTGTACCAGGTTTTTAAAAATCTCTCCTGAGGGCAGAGTTCCTCTGGCCAAACTAGATGAAAAGTGGGTTGCTGATTCAGATGTTATCACTCAATCAGTTGAGGAGAAGTACCCTAATCCACCATTAGCAATTCCTCAAGAGAAAGCTACAATGTATGTGTAAGAAGTGTTATACATATGATTTCTGTTATGATGTTGGTTCAATCAAAGGCATATAAAATTTTCTTTTTAATTCTGTTATCAAGTCATTAACTTCATCACTATGGTCCATTTATCACATTCAAGTATTTTAGTGCTCTGATATATTTTTTTTCTTTTTCCAATTGGTACAAATAAGTAGATATTTCTGGAGGGTTTTCTTTTTGTGTGGTTTAATTTCATGATCTTAACAGCAGTTTTTATCTCTGCTAATGATTTTGTGACAAGAGGTTATAGGCCTGGTTTAAAGCTGGTCATGCATTTATAGCCATGGTGTTGCAAGAATGCTGTTGCGTTTGTTGAAGAGAAGAGATACGGAGATGGGTGGAAGGTAGTAGGGATTCAATGTCGGGAAATTCTATCATTTAGGAGAATCATATTTGGGAACTTTTGAAGCCAGCAGTGTGGTCACATAATGGAGATAAACAGGTGAGAAGGAGAGGACCACCAATCCTGTTGTCTGGGTTGAGAATTTTGACATAATAAATTATAATGTTTGCAGATGTGGTTGGTATGAGAAATAGATCTAGAGTTATGACGTTTGTTTTCGGGGAAGAGAACAATTCTGTGAATTCCATCTAGAGATTACTTGTCCATAGAGTGGGATGTCGTGCTGCACAGTATATTGTATTGGGTTCATTTGGTGAAGCTGATTATGAAATTATATGTATAATCTCGTGAAACTGATAAATAAGCTTCTTTGCTTGGTGAAGTATGTACACTGTAATCTGGGTCTCAAATTCTGGTTGTACGAGGAGAAGTATTTTCGATGGTCGATAAATGTTAAATGATGATATGTTTTGAAGTTGGTGGAGTACTGTTCTAGAACCTCTGGCCAAAAGTCGCAATATTGAAGTTGGTGGAGTACTGTTCTAGAACCTCCGGCAAAAGTTACAATATCTGTGATGAAGGCAATAGTTTTCTCTTTTGTATATTATAACTGGTATGTCCTTTTATGGTAGCATCTATTGAATACCATGACATTTCCTGCTACCACAGTAGTTAGGTGACGCATAGTTTATAGATTGAATCTAGATGCTTCAGAGGAGGTTTGTGTACATGTGAGTCTGCTAACATGCTGCAGGTTTTCTAATTTTCTAGGTTTATGGATGTGTTTTCAATGAAGTAATGGAGGAAAGGGGGCATGCGGATTTAAAAACATGGACTTGCAGAAGGAAAAATAGATTTGATATTAAGAATTAATTTAAAAAGCACAAAGAATGGCTTTTCACAAGACAACTATGGTGCTAAAGGATGAGCATTGATGTCTTTAGAACATCGATACTTATGATACGGTTACCAGGCCAAGGGGTACGTCATCTCCAAGAGAAAGTTCAGATAGAAATGAGGAGAATTCTTTTCTGCAGGATTTTGTAGGATAAATGCGTCAAAATCAAAATCAAATGACAAAGATCGTGAACACATGAACTTGGACAGGACCAATCAGTTTTCCTTAAAATTCTGCAGGATTTTGTAGGATAAATGCATCAAAATCAAAATCAAATGACAAAGATCGTGAACACATGAACTTGGACAGGACCAATCAGTTTTCCTTAAAATTCGTCTACCCTTGGGTGCAACCTATTTCTCTTGTAACCTTGGGTTTCTTCAAAGGGACTATATAACTATCCATGTTTCCATGCATTACTCATGTGTCCAAACCAAATGCAAAACACAATATATTCAAAACGGGGGGGAAAAAATCTAGACACTGCTCCTAAACCTGTACTTTATATTGAATTATCCAATTGCTACAAAGATGTACTCAGTGATGTCAAATTTGCAAATCACAATAGTGGTTCTATATTTAGTTTTATAAGTATACCTTAATGGTTGCATCAAATTGGTTAATCACTTTTACCTAGTAGATCAGCCTCTAAGATTTCTCAGGACAAATGTCAGAAAGAATTTCTCTTAATCACATGCATCTTGAAGAAAGTTGCTTAATATTATCATCTTAGCCTTTCCTACTAAAAATGGGTCTTGCTATAAAGGATAACTCTGGTCTCAGGAAATTTGGTAAAAGTTTATTGACCTTCTGTCATCTTATAACCATTTAGCTGACATGGACTTCTTGGCCGAGAAAATAACGGATAAAACAGGAGCTCTGCTTGATGGCATGTATGCATCCTCTATATCCTAATAGTTTTTTATTCGGTTTTGGTGAGCTTAATCCATTCTATTGTGGCTGAATCATCAGGCATTCTTCTGCCGCATTTGCTCACGTGGAATTAGTTGCATGCTTGTACAAGATTTAATAAGACTCATGTTTATCATAGACTAGGATACTCGGACACAACGTTTTGGATGCCGTGTCCGTATTCGACACGTGTGTGACACTGATTCCCCACAGATTTTCTATGGACACGTGTGGTTCAAATCATAGTTACATGATTCACAATATGTAGCGGGTTGTCGTATGAATTGGGTACGCAATTCGAGACTTTGAAATTCTGGATTCGACAGGAGGTAGCTTGCTTCGATACGCAAGTTTGATATAAGATACGATGTAATTTTTTTGGGTACGCTTATCATTTTTTAAAGTGTATAGTAGAAACTAGAAACTAGAAAACTTTTTTGCATTTCATTATTTTTTCATAAAATATACTTAAATACTTCATTTTTATAGTTTCTGAATACATAAAATTGAAACTATTAAATATTAGACAGTCTCTTAATAATTTTTTTTTTCTATTTTGCAACTTTCTTTTCCTTAATATCAATTACATTTTCTGCTAATTTTGAGTCCAAACAATTCCATCTAATCTCCTCCAACTTACTTGAAGCATCCTCCTAGATATCATTATTGGGATCCATATTCCATCATTAACTTTGTAACTCTCACAAAATCGTGATAGGAGGTGGAAGTTTGAATGGATGAATACTAACTTATCTACCTTCCACTGTTCAATCTATTCCTTTTCATATCATGTATGTAGGAAGTACTCTAATTTCTCTCAGCTGAAGAGCTACTAATAGGCCGAGACAAGATCTTCTTAACAACATCAGTTAAAAAAATAGTAATCTAGATTAATTATTAACTTTGGATAACTTTCACTTACTAAAAGAATACTTTTAATAATATTATCGAAACATATAAAAAAATCCAAGCGCATGTGCATGAAAACGGACTTGTAAATTAACTTTGGCCCCCTCATATTTAGTAAGCGGTACACTAATTGTGGGGAGCCAATTCATGTACCGGAGGGCAAGGTTTTAAATATCGGATATCGAAAAAATATTAGATGGCCAAAATTCATATCGGATTGCGGATATCGGGAAAATATCGGGGATATGTGGTAAATATCAGAATATCATGATGAATGTTTGCATACATAGTGTAATGCATTAACATATAGTCTCAACGTATGTAATGAAATTTAAGCATACAAAATATGAATAATATATATTTAGGATCACTAATCAACCTTCTAAAACAAACAAAAGTACAAAGCAACGTTGCAACATTCGATCTACTTTTTTTAGGGCAAAATGTCATTTGATATAATGGGGAAATATTGATATCTCGCCCAAAAATTCCAAACGCGGTATATTATTTTGCAACAAGCTATATAAAAAGATATATTGGTCCACATATCGGCTAATATATCAGTCATATCGGTAATTTATCACTCAAAATAGCGAAAAAACGGTAAAGGATATTTAAAGACTATATCGCTTGTGACAAGCCCTGTAAAAGGATATATCGGGAGATATATCGGGCTATGTCGGGGATATTTAAAACAATGCCGGAGGGAATTGGTTCGTAAATGTCTCAGGAATCGGTTCGCATGAACTGTTCGACAATTCAAGGGGTGTCCAGGGAATCACACAACTATGATTCAAAGCAAAACTTGATTTCTCTAAACTAGTTTTTTGGTAATATTGGATTCAAAACCAATCTGTTTTTGAACTCGAAAACTAAAACCCATCGTATTATCCCATGTAATCCAAACATTATTCTTAGTTTGATTTAACTTGATTCTTAATTGCTATATATAATAGAAAAAATATGCAAATATTATAGGTATTTTAATTCAATATTTGATCTAATGTAAATTATATATATCCTATATTTTACAAATTTGCATTGTCCTCGTATCCTACATTTTGCAAGTTTGCCATGTCTTGTGTCCTTATCCGTGTCGGTGTCCGTATCTGTGTTCGTGATACCTAAGTCATAAATGATGTTATATGCAATTATCATTGTACATCTTGAATCCATAAGCCCTTTATTATTTTACATATTATTTTCCACTATGGATATTCATTTGCAGCGATATATTACTGTGGTTAAATAGTCATAAATAAATTACATCCTTTCTATATAGAAACGTGATGTTGCAGGATACCAACACACTAAATAGTGATTTCCCTATATTATGAGAATCCCCCCCCCACCAAGAAACCACGTTTAAAACATGATAGATACCACTTTTTATTTTTAATTTATACATAAACCATCTTTAAAGTGAATTTTTGTTCCAATCAACCACCTCCCGGTCAAAAATTTCACTGAAAACCCAGAACTACCCTAAAAACTCATATTTAAGACACGTAAGTCATGTGGTTAATGTTTGGTGAATGCTTAGGTCTAGCTAGGGTACAAGTCACCTACCTTAAACATGCATTTTTTATGTTTTTAATTTTTAGTTAAAATTTGACTAGGAGGTGGTTGGTTGCAACAAGAACCCACTTTAAAGATGGTTCATGCATAAATTGTAAATGAAAGGTGGTTTCTGTACAATGGCTCTATTTTTAAGGTGGTTTCTAGGAATAACCCCTTACGAAAACCTGGTGTAAGATATCCCATTAAGTTCACTGGATCCTTGCAGAGAGCCGCAAGCGCATGCACATTCCTTAATATATCCCATTAAGTTCACTAGAGCCTTGCAGAGAGCTGCAAGCACATGCGCATTCCTTTCCAGTGGTACCTTGGTCCTTTCTACACTTCTGATTCCCTATTCTGAACTTCAAGATGCACATTCTGTGGTGTGGAGTTGGATGTTCTTAATTTAAATCTGGTGATATATGAACTATAATATTTTCCCTTTTATACATTGTATATCTGCAAAAGAGGTGTTCTCTTTAATGAGGTTTAAACTATATAGGTCAATTCCAGAGTCTGCTTGTTCGCAACTTGTATTGAATTGGGAGGCTTATTTTGGAATTACAGTAATATAGCCTCTTTCCAAGCTACTACATAAAGTTTACATTCATATAGTAGTCATATGACTTCTTATAGACAGCGTTGGCACTATATTAAGATTGCCATGTTAATGGTTGCACAACCTAAAAATTCCTTCCCATCACGCAACATCCTTTTCTTTAAAACTAGGGGTATATCTATGAAAAAACTTTTTTCCTATACTTACTAGAAATCTCGAAGTATTCCCCGATGATATTATCTGCTTTATCCTGACATTTAAAGAGGATAAACATAATCCTCACATTTAAAGAGAAAAAAACATAATATGAAGTTAATATGATTTATACTGTGTAAAAATTTTCCATCTACTTACTTTAGTTATCATTATGTTGAGCTGTTCAAGTTTTGTTTTCTCAGTCCTGATATCGTTCACAGCTGCTGTAGTATAATACTATCTGAAGTTTACAGTTCTATGCAGTCTTATCATTTATTTATGTCTTTTCTAGTGGTTCGAAAATCTTTTCCACGTTCATTAGTTACCTTAAAAGCAAAGACGCCAGTGACGGAACGGAGCAGGCTTTGCTGAGTGAGCTGAAATTGTTTGATGATTATATTAAAGAAAATGTAAGTTTCATGTGTGCTTCATATTCTGTTAATACTAGAAGACGACTTTGTTCCTACACATGTTTTATATTTTTTCTGCTGTGCTCGGCTTTCATTTTACATCGGTGCTGGAAGTGCGTGCATATTCTTTACTGAGGCCGTTCATCTGCAAATGATGTTAATGTTGTTAGTGTTTGATTTCTGTCTTATATCCAACACCTGAAATGCAAATTTCTGAAACTTTAATGATGCGATTTAATGGGGATATTTGCTCACCTTTATGACTTTGTTTTATTGGGTGATGGAGGTCTCCCATGGAATCAGATTCTTATCAATAGATGGATGACATCCTCCACTAAGTTTCTTTTAAGCAAAGATAATCTCTATCCCTTTTCCAAATGATAAAAAGAGATGGAAGGATAGCCTACTATACTTAGGATGGGAAAGGATAAAATATGAAAAGCCCTGTAGTGGGTAAGATTTTCTAAGATGGTTCACCACGACATTGTGTATCAAGAAACTTTGCTTCTCTGCTTGCTGAGAATTTATAGGAAAAGAGATCTTGTTTAGGAAAAGAGATCTTTGTGTGCATACCCTATGAGAACTAAGTTAAGTGGCCCTTTATTAATGGATGAGCCCATGCTAGGGAGTCACTATCTCCATCAAGGGTTTTGTTAGGATGTATCCTGACATATAAAGAAAGGCACAAATTTTAGAGTCTGTATGCTGATTGCAATGTCTATTTACCCTCAAAAGTATCAAATGTTCTATTTGTCTGGTCACATTACTGCCAGCAGGAGTTTTGCTTGATGATGAGAAGGAACATGAATTGAAGATGATCGAGCTTATTTTCCCTTGAAAAAAATTGCGGCATATCGGTCTTAAGCCACTATTCACACTAATACTGATTCTGATATTGATATGATTACTTAGGTTATTCTCCAAAGAATCTAGATAGTTCATGGGAGACCCCTGAAATCTTTCAAGAATCAAACACTTGTGATATTCTTTATTTATTAGATTAACATTCGTAAGGTATAACATAGTTGAGGTTTTGTTGTCAGTTAATATTTTGCAGCTTACTTCCATGATGATGCATGTGATCAAATCTGAAGTATAGGGCGCTAATCAAATACAAGTATTTATACCTTTGATTAAAGTCTATTAGTGGTTCAATTTTTCATTTGGATAAGGTTACTTATCTTTAAAAGTTTGATATGCTATGAAGGTTTCTAAAATTACTTCATATGTAGAACAGATATGACTGTTCTATATTGTTTTCCTTTTTCAGCCTGTGCAGCGCTTCTCTGGTTAGCATCAATGTCTGTTCCCCGTGTGTGTGTCTTTTCCTCCCCCCCCCCCCCCCCCCCCCCCCCCCCCGCNTTGTTAGGGGTGTTGGGGGGTCGTTTTGTTTAGTTTTTTTTTTTCGGGGGAGGGAGGGAATGTGTTTTATGACTATAGAGAAAAAAGTATCCGAGAACATCGCTGTGGAAACAAAAGGTTACTGGGTAGGATACTGGTAGTAAATCCTGCATTAGTTAGTAGCATAGGAGACGGATCTGAGTGTTACCTGCGTCAATATGCAACAATTGTCTTGTTCCGAAATTTGATGGAGCAAAAAACGTATTAACTTCCAGACTATGATTACACTATCCTAAGCTCCTACTTTGTTTAAATAAAAGACCTACTGGAGCTTACATTCTCTGTCCATTTCTCCATCGGCTAGCGGTGTCTTAGAAAGTGTTGGTTTACATATATTTCCTGTTTCATTTCACCCTAATTGTAATCACTTGATGTAGTTGATGTTCGTACAAAAGTATCTAATAGTTTGATGCACTCTTGATGAACATGCAACATTTTGCACCACATCCAGAAGCATACGCTCCCACACCTACACACAAATGGAAATAAAGGGTTATTTGTTCAGTTGCTAATCCCAGAGTGAAATTGTTCTTGATTCTATAAAGCAGGTAGTTTTAATGGATATGATAATTCTACACTACAATGTTTGTCAAGTTTGGTATTTGTTTAGTATGTGAACATCTTTGAAACTTAATATTTCATACAAGCATATGTTTTTAAAAGTCTTGTTTCATTAATTAGATCTGTTGTTTATCCTCATATACCATGATTCAACATGATATATATCTGATCTAATTGTGTTATTTTTCGTTAGGGTCCTTACATCAACGGCGACAAGATATCTGCCGCGGATCTGTCACTTGCTCCAAAGCTTTATCATATGGAGATTGCTCTAGGACACTACAAGAATTGGACAGTTCCAGAATCACTGCCATATGTGAAGAGTTACATGAAGGTATGAAGAGCTGTATGCAAGACAACTTCATTATGAACCTTATAATTATTGCAATTAACCTTCCAACCCTTATTCATTTGAAGGTAATATAGAAGGTTTTAATAAGTTTCAGTATTACTGAATCATTTGCTAGTAAAAAATAAGCGCAGTTAAACTACCTGTATTCAACAGTGTCATTAACAAGCAGAAGGTAAGTGGGGGATACCAAGTGTGAGTTCAGTTCTGTAATTCTTAGGGGCTGAGTCTTGTTATCTACGAGTCACATTAACAGGATTTAATAGAAGTACAATCTTTGCTATGTGCAATTTGTACAATGATTTTTAAAAGCATTTGTTTTGGAAGAAAACTGAGACAGGCCTCCAGCTTTTCATGAAATAGGATTCAAACAAAGAAAAAGTTACAATAAGCGATTTGATTCAGTTATGGTTATGCCCATATGAGTTCATTATGGAACTGATTTATGTAATATTTCTCGATGTGCAGAATGTTTTCTCCATGGATTCCTTTGTGAAAACTAAAGCACTGCAAGAGGATGTGATTGCTGGATGGCGCCCCAAAGTTCTTTCTTGAATTTCTCAAATTTTGTAAGTCAAAAGTATTTCCTTGTATGACCTGAGTATATCACTGTTGTAAATAAAAAGATTTCACCATTTTGGTGAATTTCACCATCTTGATCTCCTTAATGGTGTACGCTTCTTGCATCTTTGATATTTCACTCATATTGACGAGTGCGGTATATATAAAGAGGATTCTAGTGTTAGTTTGCTTTGGGGTTGTTGGTCAATGGTACATTTTCATGCCAAGTGGGATAATTGTTGAAGTAGAACAATTTTTGGCTAGTGAGATATTTTAATGGGATAAATGAGAATAATTTTGTGAAGATATTTTGATGAAATAATGTGGGATAACCTTTATAATTATGAAGTATATATTTATGCATTTTGAGGATATAAATACTATTTTGTATTTTTAACTTACTATTATTGATTGATAATTGTTTATGAGAATGTTATTTACTATTAAATAATTTTTGGTTTGACTATAAGATATTGGTAATTATTATAATAATATATGTTATAGCTTTTTTTTATTTAAAATTATTACTATAGTAAAAGGCTACGAAAAGTTTTTCACACTTTCCTTCCCTTTTAGCTTCATGGAATCTCTTTGCCTCATCTTTCAATTTTATTGTTTAATAAATTATGGATTCATACGATCTTTACTTTTAGATTAATTATATAAGTATAATATTCGATAAAAAAAAATCAAAGATGACTAAGAGGAGACGAGATCTAATTTGCCGGCATGGTCTAATGATAGTGATGACCATGGTAAGAAAGAAGTAAAGAAAAAATTATAAAAAAATAAAAAAATAATAAAATAAATAAGAGTTCTAGTTTTTTACCACCTGGTTTCAAGCTAAAACTTGAGATAATTGGAGAGACTAGAACTTTGATTTTTATATATAGAAAAATAAAAAAGTGGGATAATTTTATACAATTATCCCAGTTTTAAATCTGTTAGAGTTTTAGTTGATTAATACTGTAAATTTTTATTCTAATTTTAGTTTAAGTTGATTAATATTATAAAATGGAAAATTTATTTCAATGCCCTAAAACCCAAAAAGCTATGTGCCCCAGCCCCTCATACTATTTGTAATGTGCTGTAGCTCCCAAATTTTAAAAAAATTGTGCCACAGCCCCTCCAACTCATAATTAGCCCAATTTTATATGTTTTTACCTAAAAACACAACTTTATCTATCCCCACTTCTTCTTCAATCTTCTTCCCTCCAACCCCAGCCCCATAAACCCCCCAAATGCCAGAAACCCAAAACCAGCAAACTCCCATTAAAACCCCAAACAAAATCTTCAAATGGAGCTCCCTCCTCCCCTCTAACCGCCTTCAAACCCCCCTCTCCGGCGAACTCCCTGACCCCGCGCACTCTCCCTCATCCTCTCCTCAACCTCACCCCTCTCCTCCCCTCCCTTCCGCTCACAAATCCCACTCTCCCTCATCCTCTCCTCAACCTCACCCCTCTCCTCCCCTCCCTTCCGCTCACAAATCCACTCACTCGCTCTCAAGCTCAACCTCCTCTCAAACCTCCTCCCCTCCCTTCCGCTCACAAATCCACTCACTCGCTCTCAAGCTCAACCTCCTCTCAAAACCCCATCTCTTCTCCTCCCTCGCTCTCTCCTACGGCCCCACCAAGGGCCCCACCCTCTTGGTGAGGGAGTATGAGGAGTATGAGGAGTGCATTGAGAGGGACCCTGGAGATGTCATTGCTTTGAATAACAATGCTTTGTGTTTGATGTATTTGAGAGATCTTTCGGATTCGATTAATCATTATCTGTTATCTGTTAACTGTTATTTGTAAACTATTAACTATAATCAATTATCTGTTAACTGTTACTTGTAAACTGTTAACTGTTATTTGTAATCTGTTAACCGTTATCATTTAACATGTATATGACCCTAAAATTCTTATATATATATGAACTGTAACCAGGGTGTGATATATAAATGTTGTACAAATTTAGCGTCGCATTAATATGTTAACTGTGTTTCTTTAAAGTAAAATGCAAAATGCAGCATTAAATGATAACAATTTACTTTAAAGAAACACAGTTAAAGTAACACAGTATTGATGCAGAGTTTTACGGATAAGAGTGTTAGTTAACAGATTAAAAATAACAATTAACAAATTGTTAGATTTGGGGGTGGAAACCAAACCTCCGACGGAGGAGGAGCTCCGTCGAGCTCCGACGAGCTCGAAAATGGCGGAGATGACGCAGGCGAAGTCGACGAACGCAACCCTTCGAGCTCTGCGTTCGAACCCCCCTCCTTCGAGCTCTGCGTTCGCACCCACCCCGAACTCTGCGTGCGAACCCGACCTCGGCGTTTTTTGGGTGATGCCGACCTTTGCGTTCGAGTGCTCCCACCTTTGCGTCCGCGGGCCGCTGGCGACAGGCTGTCGCCAGCTCATCCACCTCGCCTATAAAAAGGCCTCCTAGGGTTTCGCTGCTGCGGTGCGATTTTCCCCCTTCCTCCAATCTTTTTTCTTCTGGCGGCTGCCCTAAAATCGCTGCTGCGATTTTGTTTTTAATCCCCAGCTCCAACAGTGATTGAAGGGGGATTTAAGAAGAGAGAGAGAGAAATTAAAGAGGGTTTTAATTGTGGGGTATTTATTCTCAAGTGAGAATTGAAAGGGTTCATACCCTTTGATTATAAACACTGTAACTACAGTGTTTATTTGAGAAATCTCAGTTTTGAGATCTGCTCCTAAATTGTAATTTCTTGTTTGATTAATAAGAAATTTATTGTGTGGCTCCCGAGGACGTAGGCAGTTGCCGAACCTCGTTAAAACTTGGTGTATTTTTCTATTATGCGTTTCCGTTGCATTAGGGATTTCGGCGTTAAATTCCCAACACAAATAATGGATTATAGTTAACAATTTACTAAATACAGTTATCAATTTATCAATTAAGGTTAACATGTTAAATGAGAATGTTCACACGTAAGCGTGATATAGAACCACTACATTTTGCATTTTACTTTAAAGAAACCCAGTTAACATATTAAAGCGACAGTAAATTTGTACAAAATTTATATATTACACCATGGTTATAGTTTATATATATAGATAAGAATTTCAGGTCATATACACGTTAAATAATAATAGTTAATAGATTATAAATAACAGTTAATAGATAATGGATTATAGTTAACAGTTTACAAGTAATAGCTAACAGATAATTGATTATAGTTAACAATTTACAGATAATAGTTAACATATAATGATTAATCGAATCCGAAAGATCTTTCAAATATATCAAACACAAAGTCTTGTTATTCAAAGCAATGACATCTCCAAGGTCCCTCTCAATGCACTCATCATACTCCCTCACAGTCGAAACATAGTCCTTCACCACTACTAACTCCAATGCTTTATTCCTCCCTATCAAATTCTCAAACTCCACCTACTCCTCTTTCTTCAACCCCTCAACTCTAAAAAAACAACGCCTTTGCGCCATCCAAATCCCCAGTCTGAAACTGAATATACCCCGACATCAAGATAAGCACCGGATCCGTCGGATTCGAGTCCAAAACCTCCTGAATCAGCAAAAAACACACATCAAACTCCCCAATCACCCGCAAGCCTTCATTAAGACAATGAAAGCTACGGAGTCGAGTTCGATGTTAAGTTGGAGCATTTTGTCGAATAGCTTGAGGGCGGAGTGGGGATTGGATTGGGAAAGGAGAGTGCATGGGAGGAGGTTGCGGGGGTCGCGGGATTGGGAGAGGAGGATGGGGCCCTTGGTGGGCCGTAGGAGAGGGCGAGGGAGGAGAGGAGGTGGGGTTTTGAGAGGAGGTTGAGCTTGAGAGCGAGTGAGTGGATTTGTGAGCGGAAGGGAGGGGAGGAGATTTGAGAGGAGGTTGAGCTTGAGAGCGAGTGAGTGGATTTGTGAGCGGAAGGGAGGGGAGGAGAGGGGTGAGGTTGAGGAGAGGATGAGGGAGAGTGCTTTGTGAGCGGAAGGGAGGGGAGGAGAGGGGTGAGGTTGAGGAGAGGATGAGGGAGAGTGCGCGGGGGTCGGGGAGTTCGCCGGAGAGGAGGGTTTGAAGGGAGTTGGAGGGGAGGAGGGAGCTCCATTTGAAGATTTTGTTTGGGGTTTGCTGGGGTTTTGGGTTTTTTAGTTTCTGGCGTTTAGGGGCTTGAGGGGGCTAGGGTTAGAGGGAAGATGATTGAAGAAGAAGTGTGGAGGGGTAAAGTTGAATTTTTTTGGTAAAAAAACATATAAAATTGGGCTAATTATGAGCTGGAGGGGCTGAGGTACAATTTTTTTTAAAATTTGGGGGTTGCAGCACATTACAAATAATATGAGGGTTGGGGCACATTGCTTTTTGAGTTTTGGGGTCTTGAAGCAATTTTTCCTTATAAAATTTTATCTCACAAATTATGGTAGTTTTAGTTTTGAGTTCTTTTAGTTTTGAGTTCTATTTGACCACCCCAAATTAATTAATAATAACTTCCATAAAACACTGGAGGACTATTTATAGTCTAAAATGACCTGTTAACTACTTAAGGTACCATTATGAATCATATAGTAGGATTTAATGTCTCATAAGGGCTTGACAATGGGCCCATAGATCAAACAAGTGGAGCAAGACAATCCATTTGAATTTAAAGGCCTGCTAAAGTCCAAATTGATCTGTCCATTTCCCATTATTTACTCCACTAACAAAGCTATTAACAAAGGGGGAAGTTAGTTAGTGAGTCTTATCCTTGTGAGGATTCTCCGGTTTATGGAATCCCCTCTTTTGATGGATTTTTTGTACTTTAATGGATATTTTTCTAATGGAATTTAGAAAATATCTTTTAAAAAGGTTTCTTTATTGGCAAAGCTCAAACCTTTGCACAACAAGTAGAATCTAATGACTGTTCTTCTCATCTCAAAAGGCATTTAACATAGCAGCCTTTGTTTCTTTGTTCATACCTTTTCTTCTCCTTTCTTTTTCATCTCCTTTAAACTTTTCCCAACATTAGAATTAAATTACAATATTTCTCGTAGAGGAGAAAGAGGCTGAGATCGGTACTCTTTGTAGATCTATGCGAAGAAGATAATATTTATGGCCTACAGCTTCGGTGCTCCATAGAGATTAGTTGGAGCAATGATGACAAATCCGTAAATAAATTCCTTAAAAATAGCTCTCACAATTCTAGGTAGATAGATTTGATGGTTATGAGGTGTTCCACACCCAAAATTG